TTTTTCACTAGCCCTTTACTTTGCCAAGGATTATGGCCTCCTCCATGGACATCGTGATAGCATGCCCACAATTTGTGAGATAAAGTCATAGGGGAATTCTGGCTACATTTATTCAAAAACATATTTGTTCTTTCTGCACTCCATCATGTAGTACATTTTCCAACACCAAAATTTAAAGGTATCAATGATTTTTTTAGTCTTCCTTAGTCATTGTCCCAATTTCAAATACTATTATTTGGATCAGGTGTCTCTTAGTCCTCAAAGTCACGTCCTTGCTCTTTAGAATTTTTAAGAGGTCCTTTGCAACAGATTTGTCCATTGCATTACCTCCTTTGATTTCTTGACTACTGCTTCCAGAGGTGTTGATTCTGGATTCAAGTAAAATGTGTCCTAGTCTGTCTTAGTCTGAAAGGTCCACTGAAACCTGTCCAATATGGGGGACCCCCACCGAGATCTGAAGTACTAATAGAGTTTCCAGCATTATGTCAGCATACAGGCTAACATAATAGAACAAATTGATGGGTGGACAGAATGCATTAGAAATATATTTGTTGTTGTTGTTAAACATTGAGTTGTAGACGACTCATAGCAACCCTATGAACGAAAGACCTAAACACTTGTATAACTTTCATCATTTCTCCAAGTTCATAGGGTTATCAGAGGCAAGCTTTTTTGGAAGTAGATGCCACTCCTGCTTCCAAGCTTGTTTTAATCGGGGAGCTCCACCAAACACTGTCCACCATGGGTAACCAATATCGCATTTGACACATCAGTGTCACAGTGTTCAGCATCACAGCAACCACGATTTACAGCTATACAGCACATGGACTGACTGGTCCTATGCCACTTTGAAGAATGACCAAAAACAATTAAAACCAGGCCTGAGAGATGCAGTTTAAAATCACCCACCTTTGGTTTGGTAGCATCACTTTCTGACCATTAGGCAACTGAGCTCTCTCTATGTTGTTATTATTGTTAAGTGCTGTCAAGTCGTAGACAACTCATAGCAACCCTATGAACTGAACACTGTTTTTAAAAAATCTTACTTGGATCGATTCTGTGACTGGAGCGGTGGGAATAAGTGCGTTTGAGATGGCTAGGTTGGCACAGGATAGAACAGCATTTAGAGCTCTTGTACATAGGGTCACTATGAGTCGCAAGATACTTGATGGCACATAACAACAACTTGGATACAAAATCAGTTTGATCCTTGTTACCAGGAATCATGAGATGTATTGCACTGGAAAAGTCTGCTGTCAGGCACCTCTCCAAATTACTAAGGAGCAATAATGTCACCTTGAAGAACAAAGTGCACTTGACTCAGGCCAGGGTCTTTTCAGTCAATGGCTATGCATCTAAAAGCTGGACAATGAATAGGAATGATAAAAGAAGAACTGATGATGTCTTTGAGCTGTGATATTGGAGAAGAGTACTGAAGATCCCACGGACTGCCAAAAGAACAAACAGATAGGTCTAGGAGAAAGAGCAGCCAGAGGTAAAAATGGAGAAGCTTTGTGTCTCATACTTTGGGCATGTTGCTAGGAAAAGCTATTCTTGGAGAGGAACATCATGCTTGGAAACGTGAAAGGTCAACAAAACAGAGAAAGACTCTCAACCCAGGTTGACTGACACAATGAATGCGGCAATGGGCTTGAGTGTGTCAGAGCTGAGGAGGATGGCATAGGATAGACCAGGATTTAGGTCTGTTATTCATAGGGTTGCTATGAGTCACACTCCATCTGAAGGTACTTGACAACTACAACAACATAACAAAACGACTTCCCATTGCAGTTTGGGCCATTCTTTTTACATGAACTTTGATAAACGTTGATAGATACAGAAATGCTTCAGGGCTTTTGTTCATAAGTGCTCAACTCGAAGGCAATCAACAACAACCTGTCTAATTACTGAGCAGATGCCTGTGGCTGTCTTGAGTTGTGCTAAGTTAGCCAATGAAGGGTCCCCAAACTTGACTCTCTGCACATTATCAAGGCTCTAATGGCATCATCTGTAGGGAGTTGTACTGCTAACCCATAGGCCATGCCTTATAGTGGTTCAAATCCATCAGCTGCTTCTGAAAAGAAATATGAGCAGTTTCCTCCTGCATGATTTACTGCCTCAGAAAACCCACTGAAATGTGGCTCAATTCAAACTCAGAGTTACCTTACAAGAGAAGGTGGAATTATCTTGAGTATCGGACTGTAAATGCTTAGAGTTGTGATTGCCTTGAACTACTGATCTTTTAGTTATCAGTCCATTAAGCAACCTATTGCCCATCAGAAGCTCCTTTGAGAAGACATTAAATTAAAACAACAAAATCAATAACAACCATTTGATTTTTATAATACTTATGGCAGCCCACCGTATATTCAATAGTCCTCTCCAACACCACACTCGAAGGCATCAGTTCTTTGATCTTTTTTTCCTAACCTAACTTTCACATGCACATGAAGAATTTAGAATTATGGCTGTGTTCAGGTTCACTTTAGTCTTTATATTGACATCTTTGCTCTTTAGTACTTTAAAGAAATCCTTGACCGCCAATTAGTTGAATGAAATACATCCTTTGATCATTTTGGTTGCTGCTTTATGTGTGTTATTACTTCCTACAACACTGTGTGACTCTACAAACAAATTGATCTTGGAAGAAGTGCCACCAAGTGCTCCTTGGAAACAAAGATGGTGAATTTCACCTCATATACTTTGGGCATGTTGCCAGGAGGGGCCTTTGGGAAAAGAGAGTGTGCTTCGAACTAAAGGGTCACCAAAAGAGAAGAAGACCCTCGATGAGGGTCTAATTGCTTCATAAACATCTGAAAGTTAGGTTATAAAAAAGGAAGATCAAAGAATTGAACAATGAATCCATCAATGAGATGGATTGACACAGTGAGTGCAACAATGGGTTTAAGTACAATGGAGATTGTAAGGAAGGCACAAGGTTAGTCAGGATTTCATTCTGTTGTCCATCGAGTCTGTGTGTGTTGAAATCAACTCCAGAGTACCTAACAACAGCAGCAACGTTTTTCTAGTTACTAAACTCACATAAGCTTACTTCAAAACCTCCCCAAACGCACATATAGATAACATGGTGACTTGTGGATATGGAGTTTGGTTTTCCTTTCTTTTTCCTTCTTGAGAGGGAAGATTCCCTGTGCTAATCACTTTTTAAATAACCTTTACAGCTTTTGGTTCTACTTTAAAAAATCTCATTTTCACTGTAGATAATTTAATATATGAAACACATTTTAAACTTAGTTTAATAAGTTTTTACAAATGTCTACACATGTGAACTTCCATTTCAATCAAGATGTAGAATATATTCTATCATTTCTATTTTTCTGTCAGTTCATTCCCCTCTTGTCCTATTCTAGACCCCCAAGAAGGAGCCACAGAAATGCTTTCTGCCTCTATGGATAGAGGTTTTTCTTCTTCTGTAACTTTCCATGACTGGAGTCTATAATATGTACTCTTTTATGTTTACCTCATTTCTCCTTCTGTTTTGCAAAGCATCCATGGTTTGCACATTGCTGGATAGTATTGTATTGCATGCATATACCACTATTTACCTATTGATAGTCTTTTGGGATGTTTTCAGATTTTGGCTAATGTGAATAAAATGGTTTGGAACAACATTTGTTTAAAATCTGTGTGTGAGAAGAGTAATAGAAGAATTTGGCAATAGTGATGACTGACTTACATGATGAATAGATTTAAAGTTATAGAACTGTATATGTGATGATGATTGAAATGACAGTTGTTTTGCTACATACATTTTACCATAAAATGTTAATAAAAATGAGTGCATATATTTCACAAAAAATAAAATACTGATGGCAATACTTCCATATCACAACAAAACATAAGAAACTGACAAGCTACAACAAATTGACAAAGGAAAGCTATTTTTAAAACAAGAAGACCTCTTTAAAAAAATACCTTTCAAAAGAGTTTAAAAACAAAGGTGTCTCCATAAGGACAAGATGTCTCAACCCAAGGGCTATACTAGATTGAAGTGGGAATAATGTTGTTGTTAAGTGCTATCAAGTCATAGGCAACTCATAGCAACCCTATGAATGAAAGACCTGAACACTTGTATAACTTTCATCCTTTCTCGAGGTTCATAGGGTTTCTAGAGGCAAGCTATTTCAGAAGTGGATGCCACTCCTGCTTCCAAGCTTGTTTTAATCAGGGAGCTCCACCAAATACTGTCCACCATGCGTGACCAATATCGCATTTGGCATATCAGGGTCACAATGTTCAACATCACACCAACCACGAGTTACCTCTGTACAGCAAGTGGAAAGACCAGGGCTATACCACCTTGAAGAATGTTTGACCAAAACCCATTAAAAGCATGCCTGGCGAGTGCAGATTAAAATCACCCACCTTTGGCTTGGTAGCATCACTTTCTGTCCATTAGGCCAACTGAGCACTCTCGTTGTTGTTAAATGTCGTCGAGTTGTAGACATTCATAACAACCCTATGAACGAAAGACCTGAACACTTGTATAACTTCCTTCATTTCTCCAAGTTCATAGGGTTTCCAGAGGCAAGTGGGAATATATGTTAGCAAAATCACCTTAGCAAGTCAGGTACCAAGATATCTCCTGGAATGGTGAAACTACATAGTCTAATGAGTCTGCCAGCAGGTGGCGCAATTGATATGCTCAACGAGCTTGCAATCTGGGCAAGCACCTACTGCAGGGCACAGAACCCTAGATAATGCTACTTTGGGAGCCAGTGTCCAGCTTTCCATTTGAGTCATTCTGTGCCTGACAGCATTGCGTTCCTCATTGTGATAAAGCTTCTCTTCCAGTCATCAGTAGTATCTGTGTTTCTATACTTCTAAGGTTCTATGCCAAAGTGTCAAGTGATAATTGTTCATGGACGGGGACATGTTTCACTTGCTGCTTGACCTGGTTAGATATTAACTGTGACAAGACACATGTGGATCAAAGGAAGGTACATGTGTCATCACCAATGTGCCCTATTTGCCTTTAGATGTTCCAGATGGTGATTCAGTGACATCAAAACTTGCTGATGGCAGTACTCCAGGCTCGCTTTCCTTGGTGGCCCAGGCAGAGGACTTGGCAGGTAACCATGCCCTGGGCCAGCAGTGCCAGGACGACTTTAACATGTGCAGCACGATAAGGGACTCACAAGTTTAGATCAGAATAGCTGGAGGACTCCAAAAGCTAAATATGTTTTCCTTTCAAGAACATGTGAGCTTCTGGACAGGTTACAGATTAAAGCATGCATCTCTGCTTCCTACCACTTTGATTTCTGCATCTTATTCTTTATGGCAATCTTCCTGTGCCTTCAAGTCCCAAGAGCATTTAAAGTGACAGATAGTTTAGAGTCCTGAATTACTCTTTAACTTAGAAATGTATTGCCCATGCCAATGAAGAAGAATGACTTGAAACATTTTTAAATCTGCACTGACCTCCTAAACAAATGGGATGGTTGTATTCTGTAGCAGAGGGTTTAAAAATGGCAGATTGCTAGGCTGTGGAGGCCTAAGATGGCCATGGTTGAGAACCTGAGAGACTGAGTTCAAATCCTGGAGCTGTGGGTGTCACCTTATGTATGTTATGTTACCTCTCAGAGTTAACCAGCCGTAGGTAAGAAAAGTACCCACTTCACATGAGTTTTGTGACAATTACATTAGTTGATGAAGGAAAAGGTAACCTCCTTAGAAAAGTGTACTAGGTATCTAGATAGGCAGCTCCATTATAAATGGCTTAGCCCTGTGTCTGTCCCCCTTGAAGCCTTCTACAAATATTTATATGGTACTGTGTGCATATGCAGGCAGTCTCTGGGTTATGAACACCTAAGTGAAGGACATTTTTACTTGCCATTTAATATACGGCAAACTCGCTCTATCATGGTGGGTGAAGTGAAGCTATATAGTTTGGACTTTTTACAAATTGGGTGACTTGTCACGGGAACCTGAATGGGAACCAGTCACAATCCTGGATGAGAGCCTCAGAAGAGATACCTGGGCTCTTTGAGGAACCTGATGCCTGAGACTAGACTTTTAGCAGGGCCAATAGTAGAGACTTGCTCCGAGCACTACATTCAGCTGCCATCATTGAACAGACAATACTGTCCCAGAGTCTTGCTTTGTTGTTACAAAGTTTGCCCACACTTTGGAAAAACAATAGAACCAACCCCCCACCCCCCAACAGATCCTTCATGATCGTGAATCTACAGCTTTTAAAATCATTGAAAATACTTTGAGCCTTCTCTTATACTGAGTGGTTTTTGCTGTTACGTGCTCTTGAGCCGGAATTGACTTATAGCTGACCTTCAAGCAGGTTTTCAGAGTCCTGGAAAGGGTTAAACCGGGTGGCTCCTTGGAGGCAAGGATTCTGAAGCTCCGTCTAACATACTTTGGACATGTTGTGAGGAGAGACCGGTCCTTAGAGAGGGACATCATGCTTGGGAGGGTGGAGGGACGGCGCAGGAGAGGAAGGCCCTCTATGAGGTGGATTGATTCAGTGACTGGGATAATTGGGATGGGAGTGTCAGAGACAGTGCAATTGGCAAAGGACAGAGCGGAGTTTAGGGCTGTTGTACATAGGGTCGCTATGAGTCGCAAGTGACTCGATGGCACATAACAACAAACAACATCATTCTCGAGGGAGGAGATAGCCTATCTTTTTCCAGTGGAGTTGCTGGTAGATTCAAACCACCTTCCTTTGGGTTGGCAGTGCAACTCCTTACCCAATAATCTACCAGAGCCCCTCTTGTCCTAAAGTAAAGCTAACAAAAATCAGATGAATGTCTCCAGCTGCCTTAAAATTCTACTAAAAGATACACCAACAGATCTTGTTTGTACCCCAGAGCACCTGTGTGATGGAGTTAAAAATCCATAACCCCACCATTTAAGGCCTTTTATCAGGGTGGGCCTATAACCAATACCTGATCTGTTACCTGCATAATGAGGAAAGGTTTCTCCTCTGCTCCTTTGGGTAAATGGAGTGAGTGTCTGTCAAATATTGCTCTAAATATTGCTGAGCATCCAAATTAAGACAGACTAGGGGGAAGAATTAGCCACCCACCTCTGAAATAACAGACCTCCGGAAACCCCAAGTACAATATAGTACACTTAGATTAGACTAGCAGATAAGGCACTGGAGGCCGAGCCTTTGTATTGGGAATCACAAAAGAGGGACCGCTCCAGAGAACTGAAGAGCAACAATGTCAGTCTAGAGACCAAGGTGCGCCTGTCCAAGCCATAGTCTTCCCAATTATTTGCTATGCATCAGAGAGCTGGACAATGACTAAGGATGACAGAAGAATCAATGTCTTTGAATTCCTGGACAAGAGTATTGTACATACAGTGGACTGCTAAGAAAACAAACATATACATCCTGGAGAGGGTAAAACCGAGCTGCTTCTTGGAGGTAAGGATTTTGAAGCTCTGTCTCTCATACTTCAGGCATGTTTCCAGGAGGGACCAATCTTTGGATAAGGACATCATGCTTGGAAGGGTTGAGGGTCAGTGCAGGAGAGGAAGACCCTGGATGAGGTGGCTTGACTCAGTAACTAGGGTAATGGAGTAGGTGTTTCGAAGATAATGACATTGGCTCAAGACAGAGCAAGGGTTCAGAGCTATCGTATTTAGGGTCACTATGAGTCACCATCATCATCAACTTAATGGCACATATCATCACAGCAATCATTATTTTTTTTTTTTACTGATGACATTATAATGTTTATTAACAGTCTTAAAGATTTTACAAAAAAAACCCCTGTTCAAATTCAAACTCACTTCTATCAAAGTGGAACCCTGCGGAGAATTTTCAGAGGCTATAAATTATGTGGGAAGAGGCAATCATTATTTTTAAAAGAAATAAAGAAATGGAAAATTTAACAATAGACTAACTTCTCCTCCCTATTATAAAAAAAAAATCCTGTCAAGAAAAGAAAGACAACAAAGACTTTTTCAATACTTCTGGCTCTTTCTCAAACACCACAAAAGTTTTGATTGGAAGTTCAAGGAGGACAGAGAAGGTGTGGTGGGAGGCCCTTGTCCAGGCTGACCCCTGTAGTCCTAGCCAGGGGGTGGTCATTGTGGATCCTGTGGTTCAGGTTTGTGCCATGGACTGTCTTCTCTTAGGGCCCAGGATTGACTGAGTGAAACTCTGTATGGACACTTTAATTTTTTACATTTTTATTATGATTTACTCAAAGTTTAATGAGCAGATTGGTATCCCTGCCTACCATTCCAGCTTTATTTATTGACCTTGATTATAATCCCCACATTTGATCCACTCTTCCCCTTGTCTCTCTCTGTGGTTCTTGTTTTCCTACATCTTGTTTTCTTTTTGTTGTTCAGAAGGAATTTCTGATCCGTCTTTAGACTATTTGCTGGAGAACCCAGATAGTTCTGCCTTCATCTCGACCTTTGAAAGCATCACTAAAGAACTGAAAAGCAAGTATGAGGTAATAATGTTCCACTGAAAACAAAATGACAAATTTTGAAAATGACAAAGCTGTGTCTTTTTGCCATCAAGTCGGAACTGACTCATAGCTGTTTCTCCTGTGAGTTTCCAGAGGCCGTAAATCCCATGGGAAGATATCTCCCATTTCTCTCTCAAGGAGTGACTGGTAGAGTAGAAGAGTTGGAGGCTCAACCTTGGAGTTAGCAGCACAGCTCTCTACTAGCCCTTGCTTGTGAAGGTTCTTTGGGGCCTTGTGGGTTTGTGCACTTGTCTTAACTATGCTCATTCTGGTTCCTTTGTACTCTCTCCATGTCCCTGGGTAGTACAGTGGTTCACACTCAACTACTCCCTGAAAAGTTGGTAGTTCACGCCCACCCAGGTGTGCCACAGAAAGAAGGCTTGCAAGTTCACTTCCATAAAAGTCATGGCCAAGTGAACCTTATGGAGCTCAGTTCTGCCCTGCAACACATGAGTGTCACCATGAATCAGAATCAGCTCACCAGCAGGGAGGTTTGATTTTTGAACTATGGCCCCATGTTGGCTATCACAGTCAAGCAGACATTGTAGAAAACAGAATCATGGTATAATTCTCATCTTAACTGTCAGAGGCAGTGGTCACATGGTGAAAAAGGAGGGAGGGAAGAATGAAAGGAGAAGGGTCTGGACGAGAAGGTATGTGGGATGATGATGGTGAACTACGTATGTGTTTTGTCTGCTGAGTGCTGGCATCTCTTTGAGATACTTCACTATAAGAAACCCCAATGATTTGTTTGCAAGATGAGTACAACAACAATGTTCCTTCTCATCTCGAATAACTGATAACTCATTGTTGTTAGGTGTCAGTGAGTCAAATGTGACTCATAGTGACCCTAGGAACAGCAGATCTGAACCCTCTCCTATCCAATGGCATCACTGTCTCAGAAACATGTGAGCCCATTGCTGCAGCCACTGTATCAACACATCTTGCTCAGCATCTTTCTCTCTTTTGCTGACCCTCCACCTTTCCAAGCATGATGTCCCTTTTCAAGGAATGGCCTCTGCTAGCAACATGCCCCAAAGTATGTGAGAGAAAGCTTTGTCACCTTTGCCTCTCAGGGGCACTCTCACGGCACTTTTCCCAAGACATAGCTGTTTGTTCTTTTGGCATTTCATGGGATATTCAGTATTCCAACACTCAAAGTTCAAAGGCATCAATTCTTCTTTTGTAATTCACCAATGGTAAGAAATTATGCTACTAACACAAAGGTGTGAGGTTTGAATCCACCAGCTGTCCCTGGGGAAAAAGATGGCCAATCTCCTCCCTTGCAACTTACAGCCTCTGAAAACCTACTAGAGGGTCAGCTATGGGTCAGTTCCAAATTGATGGTATACAATAACAATGACATTATATGCTGTATCGCTAACTGAAAGGTCAGAAGTTTGAATCTACCAGCTAGGTGATCTGTGAAAGAAAGGAGGACAGTCTTATAAAGATTTAAAGCCTCGGAAATGCAATGGAGGGTTGCTGTGAGGTGAAACTGACTTGATGTCAGTGAGTTTGGGGGGTTTTTGTTTTCATCAGTTATCAAATAGTAGTGGTGCACTGATGGAGCACTCTTCTGCCAACTACAAGGTCCAGCAGTTGAGATCTACCTCTTGTTTTAATCCAATTCATCAAGTGAATTGATTTTACATTCCATTAATGATACATGTGCATCTTGTTTTATAACATTAGTTACAAATGAATTAGTTATAAAATTAGTTACAATGTAATCATGCTTTTCCAATTTCCTCTTGATAATTTTGACTTCCTTAAATCCTTCTGCTCCTCTAGTCCCTCTTGGTATAATGATGATGTGCTGATCACCCACTTACTGTTTAGTGCCTCTCCTTTAACCCATCCTAATATGTGTCTCATATCTATTTACTAATCTTTCCCTCCCTCCCTTTCCATCCCCTGTAACCATGCAGGAAGGATTCTAACTGTGAACACACATTCAATTTTGTAGTGATGCTGAATTCAATGTGATCTTTTTTGTTACTGTTTTTGTTTAGCTTAGGAACAGAAAGAGTCCACTTCTTTCCACAAGTGGAATCAAAGTACCAGCTTGCCTAACAAAAGTTTTAAAGCAGATACATGAGTGCAGGTAAGTATTAGATTAAAACACAACTTCATGTAAGTGTTGTTATTTACAAACTACCTTTGTCTACTGGCCCTGCACTGGGGCCATGAAGAGCTGAAGCCTGTAACACATGGGGAGTTTGATGCATCCCGTATCCCATCTTCGATTCCAGTTCTTGATCCATAAAATGGAGAGTTAAACCATATGATGTCCATATATATACTCACAGTTCTGTGCAGTACAAGAGGTTGGCATGCTCTGCTGCTAATCAAAGGTTTGAAATTTGAGCTCACCCAGAAATGTCTCAGCAGAAGGACCAAGTGAGCTACTTCAGAAAGCCAGCCATTGAAAACCCTCTGGAGGGCAGTTCTGCTCTGAAACGTGGCAGAGTCAGTTCATTGGCACGCTGTGACTAGCTTGCCCCCCCCCAATCTGCATATGTGTGTGTGAGTATGTTAAGGAGCCATTGAGGTGTATGTGAATAAGTAGATATAAAAGAACCATTGGGGTGAAGTGGTTAAGCTTTCAGCAGCTAAGCAAAATGTTGTCAGTTTGAACCCATCACAGTTCAGCAGAAAAGACCTAGGAGATTTGCTTTCACAAGAATAGAGCTGCGGGAACCCTCCAGGGTAGATCTACTCTGTCCTATAAGCTCATTAGGCATTGGAGTCTGCACTATGGCATCTAAGAGTGCACTGGTGGTGGAGTAACTCAAAGGTGGCATGTGTCTGGCAGTTCAAATCCACCAGCTGCTCTGCAGGATAAAGATGGGCAGTCTCCATCCTTGTGATTTACAGCTTCTGGAAACCCACTGGAGGGCCAGCTATGAGTTGATCTGACTCAATAGCAATGAGCTTGAAATATTTTTGTATGACCAGCAACACGTGTGTATACATCTGTACACACTCATATGCATAAATAAAAGTTCCACACCCCACCCCAGCCCTGTGACCATGTAGAAAGATGCAAAGATTCCAAGCTTTCTCAGGGATGTGAAGATTAAGAGCTGGGAGAGAAAGCATAAATACATGTAGTGATTAGATGGAATCCAGAGAGAATCTGAGGTCAGTGCTGCTTGGGAGAAAATTGGGAAGAGAGAGTCTAAAGAATGGTGAGATCTGGGGTAAGGTGAATGTGGAGACTGTTGTTCATTGAGGGGAATGGAGTATAAGTGATGGCTGAGAAGAAGTGTTGATGTGTCCTTACGCCTTACTGAAGTAGAATGTATGTTAGAGCAGTTGTTGTTAGGTGCCATTGAGTCGAGTATGACTCATAGCGACCCTATGAACTAAAGATCTGGACCCTATTCTATCCTGCGCCGTCCTCGCACTTCCTCACTCTCTTGCAGTAGTCACCATGGGAATCCATCTGGTTGAGGGTCTTCCTCTCCTTCACCAATGTTTCACACTTCTTGGCAGCATGTTCTTCTCTAAGGAATAGCACCTCCTAGCAACATGCCCAAAGTATGTGATGTGAAACCTCATCATTCTTGCCTCCAAAAAGTGCTCCAGCTGCACCCTCTCCAAGACTGTTCTTTTGGCCATCCATGGGATATTCAGTGCTCTTCTCCAACACCACAGCTAAAAAGTGTCTACTTCCGTTATCCTTATCCATTGTCCAGCACTCAGATGCATAGCAAATGATCAGACTATGGCCCAAGTCAGATGTACCTTATTCCTCAAACTGACATCATTACTCTGCAATAATTTTGAGAGGGCCCTAACTGTACACTTTTCCACTGCAATGTGTCTATTTTCTGACTGTTGATACTAAAGTTGTTAATCATGGATACAAGCAAGATGAAGTTGTTGACCCTTTCAATCTCTTCTCCATCCATCATGATGTTGCCTATCAGAATCTGTTTTCTGGACATTGGGATGCAATCCATAGTGAAGGCTGCATTCCTTGATCTTCTGCAACATGTGCTTCAAACCCTTCTCACTTTGAGCAAGTGAGGCTGTGTCATCTGTGTGACACAGGTTATTGATGAGTCTTGGCGTCATCTTTCTCTTCATAGAGTCCAGCTTCTTGAATAATTTGCCAAATGTACAGATTGAATAGGTGTGGAGAAAGACTACAACCCTGATGCACTCACTCCCTTCCCAATTTTAAGCCATGCAGCCTCCTGGTCCAGGTATGGGTTTCTCATGAGCACAATTATGTCCTCTGAGACTCCCATTCTTCTCAATGTCAGCCACAATTTGTTATGATCCACACACATTTGGACAGAAATGTAGACAATTTTAACCCTTTTGAACATGCAGTGTCATTTCATTATTAAACCATTCCTGTGAAGGACATTGAACTTCTGGAACTGCCCTTAACTTACAAAAGTTGTTGTTTAACAGCCGAGTGTTCACCATCTGTGTCACTACTCTTCGTGCTCCTGGAGTCATTATCTCCGTCTACTCAGTCAGCAGGTGCACGCCCAGCAACACTTAGGCCCTGAAGGTGGGAGGTGGGGGAGGCCAGTGGTGAGAGACACTGAACTCATGGACATTCCTGAATAATAAAGACAGACAAACCAACAAATACAAGAATTGTGTGGCAGGTGGATAACATCAACTGTTAGATATTTTAAAACTTAAATGTGGATGTAGGAAAAAAGAGTTGATTAGCTAATGTCAGACCACAGCTTTCAAGAATGGCTTTTTATTGTGGTGGTTCAGCAAATATGACTCCTAACAATCCCATGTACAACCCTGCCTGACCCTGTATCACGTTCTCTGCTGTGCTTGAGCCTATTGTAGTCATTGTGTCAATCCTTCCTATTGAGGGTCTGTCTGCTTTTTTGTTACTCTTTTCTTTCCATGACTAGAGAAAGGGAAACACAGACATTGCAGAATGGGAGCCCCAGCTGGCATAGTGGATTGTGTCCCACCTCTGAGTCCCCTCTTCTCAAAGGAGTCAGCTGTCTTTGTCCTACTCTTGCTCCCCCTTCTGACAATGATACTGATAGACTAGCTCCCTTTGCTAATGCTGCTCAAATGCAGAATGGAAATTTAAATAGTTAACTTTGTTGAAGAACAGGTGGGTAGACAGGGAGGAGAGATGTGAGAACTATGTATTCTTCCCCCCACCCCCACCCTATCCAGTGACACACTGACTTTAATAATGGGTTCCAGTATGTCAGAGATGACGATGGCACAGAACAGGGCAAGTTGTTGATCCATTGTTCATCATGTTGCTGAGTTGTTGACTTGATGACACCATGGTTCTAGGAGGTTCTCAGTGCAGGGACCCTGACTTCAAAGGACACACTCTGCTCCTGATTCTTCTTTCTTAGTGGTGGTAGATTGCTCTGATATTTGCATTTTTTATTTTATTATTATTATTTTTTGTGCATGTACCATCAAATCAGATCTGACTGGTACAGGAGGAAATTGTCCCTCCTTCTCGGCAGAGCATCTGGTGGATTTGAACCATGTACCTCTGAGATTGCAGTACAGCTTCTTGCCACTAGGCCACCAGAGCTCCCCTGATATTTGCATTTTTAATAGAACTTTTTTTTGGAGAAGACTATGATGTCTCCTTGTAATTTGTTGTAAGGTAGCAGTGAGTTAGTTATGGCACTGAGGTGAAATGTTGCCTTAGCCTGCATCATCCTCAGTGTTTACAGTGCTTAAGCCTGTTGTCATAGCAACTGTATCACTCCATGTCTTTGAGAGCCTTCCCCTCGTTTATTGACCTATGATTTTACTAAGTATATAGTTCTTCAGGGGCTCAACCTTTCTGACAACATGTCAAAAGTCTCACCATCTTCATGTCTAATGAGCACTCTGACTGTACTACTTCCAAGGCAGATTTGTTTGTTCTTTTGTCAATCCATGATAAATATTCTTCTTCAGCACTACAATCCAAAAACATCAATTCTTCATTGGTTTTCCCCATTCATTGTCCAACTTTCACATGCATATGAAAAAAACATGGCTTGAGTCAGGTGCACCCTAGTCCTGAAGGTGGTGTGCTAGCTCTTTAGCACTGTAAAGATGTCACTTGCAGATTTTCCCAATGCAATACATTGTTTAATTTCTTAACTACTGCTTCCATGGCCATTGATTATGCATTGTCAGTCTTTTCTCCATTCATTGTTATGATGATTATTGGTCCTGTTGTGAGGCAGTTTGTCTTTATATTGAGTTGTAATCTATAGTCTTTAAGCTTCATCAGCTCCTTGTCAAAAGCATATGTAATTAAGCATTTTGTCACATCCAACCAGTCCCAATGAGAATTGTTGCTTTTGCATTTCTCAGACTTAGTAAATTACAGCAGTTCAACCACATTGTTCTTCAAGAGCTGAGCCACTTTGAGGAGGATATTCAGGCCCTGGGAAACCTTGAGAATGATATTCTGGTAAGTTCTTTTCATTTACACCATTCCCTGTAATGCCAGAGGGTCTGTTCTAAGGCAGAATAAATGCTAACTCCCAAAGGCACACAAATCAAATCCCTGACTTGCTCCACAGGAGAAGGATGGGCAGTCTCCTCCTGTGGGATTTACTGCCTCTGAAAACTCGCTGAAGGGTCAAATGGGAGTCAGTTCCAACTCACCAGCACACACAACTACTTTTGTTTTAGTTGTGATTTTAGTGAAAGTCTATAAAGAGATTAGTTTTTCATTCATTCATTGATAGCCTTTTCCTCTTTACCCTCCTTGAATTTACTTTGTAATACTTGTTCCATATTGCTAATTGTCAAGCATGTAATGTTTAATGATTCATTTCTTTCAGATTTTCGTCTTTGTGCATTGTGTACTCCTCCAATGTGGTGTCCATTATCCCTTTTCACACACTCTTCTCCACCCCACTTCCATTCTATTGTTATAATAAGAGCGTATGCAGTATTTGTTCCTTTGTGATTGAGATATTTCACTCAGTATGATGTGCGCCAGACTCATCTACATTGTGTAGTGTTTTACAAGTTCACTGTTCTTCAGTGTTGTGTAATATTATGTGGTGTGAACTACCAGTTTCTCTATCCATCCATCCATCCATTGATGGACACTTTAGCTGCTTCCATCTCTTTGTTACTGTGAATAATGCCAACAAACATGGGCGTGCCTACACCTGCTTGGGTCACAGCTGACTTCTTTAGGGTATATTCTGACTACTTTTTT